ATTTTGTTGATTGATACTCGGTGGTGTTACCTCGAAGGCAATGATTTGGACATCCTCTGTGCGATTTCGACTACTGACGTTGACGAGCATGTCACAATGCCAAGAAGTATCGATGATTGCATGATTGTCCTCGAGATTTGCAAGTAGAGCAACTGAAGAACTGACTTCCACTGCACCGCAGAGAGCAAAACCTACTCCTACGAGGCCAGCTACTATGTGTCGTGCTCTCACAGCCGCTGAAACAATTTTATTCTTCATCAATATACAGTAATAAAAATTACTCTTGAAATTTAAAATGAAAAGGATTAAAATTTCTGACAATTCGAAATTGAATTGAAAATTCCATTCCATTCCTGATCTGACGAATCTGATGATTTCTTTGAAATGGTTTCAATCAAATTTTTTTTTTTAACCCTAATAACCCTTTACTGGAAGTGGAGCACCAATTTCCAAAATATTCGTAGCCATCACAATTATTTTCCTCACTCAACAGCACATCGTATTCTCCACATTACTCTTGCGTAATTAGGCGACGCGGGAATAATATTTGCGCTGAACAATAATTTAACTGGAGCCACCTCACGTTATCTCAAAATACAAATACAATTCACCGAGTTAATTCCGTCTATTCCCTCAAGTTCACTTGAGTGAGGCATTCCACGGATACCCCAGGGCCTCATTCCACAAAATTCATCTTCATATCCCCCATTTTTTAAGATTATCAATTAAACAATTTCTCCACCAAATCCTATTGAAAACAGTAAAAAATAATCCGCTCGTAAAATCTCTCCGGGTGATTTAAATAAAAAAATTCAGTACCAAGGAAGTAAACAGTGACAAAATTTCGTGTTCCCTAGTCCCTTTTTGCGAAATATCTACGAAAATAAAGGAGATATGCAAATGTTTCTCGGAACTTCTTTTGTTAAGCGAAATCAGAACTATAAAAAAGATTTATCAAGTATTTCGCTGTCTCCCTTATTTTTAAAGATATTCCTGCAAAAGTGATCTATTAACTAAATCGATTAGCCTAGACAAACAAGTGGAAATGTTGAAATGAAATGAAATTAAGGGAGATAGCGAAATTTTCAGTGAAATCTTTTTTGGAGAGTAGACTGAAAGCTATCGGAAAGGTAGTAATGAAAATTTCAGTATCTCTGTTAGGTTCGATGATATTCCTAAAAACTTACGATTTAGGCGAAATTCATCCTTTACTATTCTGGTACTGAATTACAAACCTCGTACTTCCTTGGCAGCTTGTCTTATCTGAACACTGCTCCTCTTGACGAGCTGTACACTACCTCTCTTAACGAAGTCTGCCATTTCACAATGATCAGACACTCGCGTCGTTTCCACAATGGACACAATCCCTATTTTTTCCTTATCAAAAGTGTAAGCTCTGATGAGTCTATTTGAATTGCACACACACGCGTATCACTGAGACTTTGATTACACGACATTGGAAGTTTCAGTTGATCAACTGACTACTGATGATTATGATGTAAAGTAAATAAATTTATCAAATCCGAGATTTTTTGTTCTATATTCACATCTAATTTCGTCTCCAATAACTGTTTTCTATAAATGTATCAAATAATATAAATATATATTAGAATATATTATATTCTCGGAGGACTGAAATTCGATTTTCTCCATTATCAATTTTTTCGGAATTATTATGAGTACTTAATATTAATTTATAATTTAGATTTTATTTACAAATCGATTATAAATTACATGGATTATATTTCGCTTATGAATACTTGCATTAAAATTTTTTTTCGAAGCTAGTCAGATTCGTAGAGTGCGTAATAATTTTTTTCGAACGAAATATGCTTTCGTATAACATAATCTCCTCAAATATCTCCTCGAATACTCTCGTTTACATTTAAAAAGATAATTCGAACAAATAAAGAATTCATTGTTTATCCCGAATAA